ACCTCGTTCCTCATTCCTCTTTCCTTATGACAAAAGCCACTGTCTGCTGATTGTTCCCAATGCATTCTGGATGCTTCTCTACATCCCTTGCCTTCTCTTTAACAACCTGGAGAAGCTGGACTCATTGGGTAATATAGACAGGATCATATTCAGCCATTAGCAAAGCAGGTTGAACTTGGGCTAGTTCCTCACAATCAGCATGCGACATACTCTCAGACCTGGAATGGCTCCAGACACATTGTCCCTCCCGAAAAGCATCTTTCCTCAGCAGGCCCACTCAGTAGGGACCCGCAAATACTCTGGATGCCTGTCCCTTCCTCTCTCAAGGAAGAATGGTACTTAGAATTCTATTGCCAGAATTCTTTTCCTGTCCATCTCCTTGTTGGACCCTGGAATCCTTCACTGCCTTTTTCCCAGAAGGGAGGGAAAGAATGGTGGTCTGGAGGGATCCAGAAATTTCATACCATATAATCAAATGGCTTTCTATCCAGGATCTTGCAAAAGAAGAGAAAAAGACGCACAGAGACAGATACATCCTTAGTGCCCAGCCTGATCTCTTGCCAATTCCTTAAAATTTCTTATTTTTGAACTCAAGATGGGTGAGCACAGAAGTAGCTTGGGCTTTTCAGGTGCTAGCAGCACATTCTAATCTATGTTCCTTTGTGCCAGTTCACTGCATACACACAGAAGTGTGGAGAGGAGGCAGCTTGAGGATACGGTTTCTATGACTTCTCCATTACCCCAGTCACAGTGCTGCATTTTAAACCCAGGCATCCCATGTCTTCTCCTAGCTTCAGGCTTCCTATGTCTGTTAAGAACAGGGAACTAATGGGACTAGGGAGAAGTTCAATGAGTGGCTTGCCAGGAAAGTATGAGGACATGAGTTTGGAGCCCCTTTTCCCATGTAAAGCTAGGAGTGACAGCATGGCAAGGCATAGGCAGTGGCATCACAGTGTGAGCCTCTGTCTCAAACAAGGTGAAAGGCAAGCATCGACACCCAAGGTTGTCCCTCTCACACCCACACTCATGCCATGGCATGTACAAATCTGCACCCACATAGACACATAGGATCACATATATCATACACCTATGTGCTAAAATAATAATAATAAAAAGAGCAACTAACTACATACTCTCTGTAGCACAACTTCCAGTCAGTAGGGAGAGGGGTACTTAGCATTTCTGCAGGTAACTGCTTGTTGAATTCTTTCTGCTGGCTGCCCTCTGAGTATTTGCCTGCAAGAAAGCATCCTCTGTCAGTTACCTGTCTGTCAAAGCTGCTACTTCCTTCCCTAGGGTATTTTTCTGTTCAAGCTGCCACTTCTCCTGACCAGTAAAAGTGTCTACTGGGCCAAATAGCTTCTCTCCTTCACCCCACTGAAGGCACGAAGGACCTGCTTGGTCAGACTTGCAGACCTCCTAGGTGCAAATGCATTCATCTGGCAGTTACAGGGGAGCAGGGATTCAGGACAGGAGATTCAGACAATGTCCCACGGAAGGAGAAAACATCAACAGTCATGTTCAGAGATAAAACCCAAGGTGGATGTGACTCTCACCACTGCCCACAAAGTCCAACACTAGCTGTGCCACAAAATCTGGCCTTCCTGGTGCTGCTGCTGCTGCTGAGCCATTCAAACCCCTCTGGCTGTGGTTCTAGTTCATATTAATGGCATTTAAAGCAAAGCCTCCCAACTGCCCCTTACTTGCAGATCTCCTAAGTTAAAGAACTTTGCTTAGGGGAAGAACTTGTCTTTTTTTTTTTTAAGATTTATTATTATTTTTTTATTTTATGTGTATGCATGTATTACCTGCATATAGGTAAGTGCACCGGTGTCGTACAATGCCCTCAGAGGACAGACGAGGCTGTCAGATCCCCTGGAACCGGAGTTACAGACAGTTGTTAGTTGCCACATGGGTGCTGGGATTCGAACCCGGGTCTTCTGCAAGAACAGTCAGTGTTCTTAACCACCGAGCCATCTCTCCAGCCCCTATTTTATTATTTTTAATTATATATATATATGTATGTGGGCATATGTACATGAATTCCAGCACCTGCAGAGGCCAAAGGCATCAGATCCCCCTGGAGCTGGAGTTACAGGCAGTTGTGAGTCTCACCCAATGCGGTACTGGGAACCAAACTCAGGTCCTCTCTGTGGGACTGGGAACCAAACTCAGGTCCTCTCTAATAACAGCACATGCTCTTAATTGCTGAGCCATCTCCGCAGCCCCTTGTCTGCTTTATTTTTTTCACTTTTTTATTTTAAAATGGGAGTTCTGGAATTAGCAGACCTGCAATGAAATCTGGGTTCTGCCACTTACCAGCTATGAGACCAAAAGAAGTCATTGCAATTATTTAGGTTTCAGCTCCCTTATCTGTAGAGAATGACGCCTCTCTTCACAGTACTGTCGGGGGGTTGCAGGAAAATGTAACGCTAAGCATAGGGCCTGGCACACAGAAGATGCTCAGTAAATGGCCCTTTCTCTCCCCATCTTTAGAAGGAGGTGGAGGTAACCAGTGCTGCCTGCCTCCTGGAACTGAAGTGAGCTATCCTCCTCCCTGAGTGGTGGAGTAGGAAGCTGTTTATAAAGTGTCTCTAAAAACTGAGAATGTAATCTTCCCTTCATTTGATGAAGGGTACCTGCTGCTCCTGTGTGCTCATATGCTTACACCTAAACACAAGACTTCATTTGTCAAATCAGGGGAACCAAAATTAACCTGACACAATACCACCTTCAGGCAAGCTTCTCAATTCTTTTCACATACATTCAAAGACCTGAGTGGCGTGTCAGTGACAAGGGGATTGGTCGCCTATGTAAGCCCACCTATAGAAAGCCACCTTGTTATCCCCATCTGGGGAGGAGAGCTAAACTCCCAACCCCCTTCTTTTATTGTCAAAGACCACCCACTGGAACTGGCTGGCAAGTTGCCACTGTCCAGTAGGGCTAGAGCTAGGCTGCTCTCCCAGCCTCCGTCTACAACAGAAGCCTACACCAGACCAGGCTGTCACTTGGGGCTGACTTGGCCTTCAGAGATTGCAGACCACCAGAGGTCTCAAGAAAAGGCTGCAGAGGCCTGCCTAAGGGGTGACTGGAATCTAACTCCTGGCTGTAATGTAACAGATGAGTATACAAAGTTCTCACTACCAAACATCCTTTTATAACAACAGAGGCAAACAGCTGTGAATTTCCATGACTTTATGTGGTTATACTTGCAGAAGAAGGTACTGTAGTGACTGATGTGTTAATAAATTCCCCTCCCTTGGGTGCAACTATGGAAAAGAGATACTGTAACTCCATTGTAAGATGACAGTCATGTCAGGAAGACAGTCAAGGGGGAGAGGTGATTTCTGAAACAAGAGCAGCCTTCTGCTTTCATAGAAAACCAATAAACCCAGAACCCCTCAATTTTCCTCTCCAATTAACTGTGACCCATACCTTATAAACCTGTTAAGACTGTAATATTAGGTAAGTAAAGACTAGTAAAGGCACTTGGCTTAGGCTAATCTGGAAAAGTATTGGCAGAGCCAGGCAAGGTGGGGGAAGGCTTTCTTTAAGAGTCCATTTCTGGCCTAGCCTGGGTGGGATCTCCTGGAGGCCATCCATCTGTACTTGCAGGTACCTACCTGTGGCTTCCATCCTGGGTGATGCCTATCAGGACGTTTCCAGGCAACCTGAAAGTTTAGTGACTCAGATACCCTAAATTATATCTCCCTTCACCTGCTACTCCAGGTCAGACTTGAGAGTCACACAAGTCTTCTACAGACAGGAGAACAGACAGCAAATGGCACAGACATGCAAAAAACTGACTTCATGCATGTTTCTCTAATTCTGAAGAGAAATCTAATAGGGAGAGATGAGAAGGAAAAAAAATTTCCTTTTTCCCTCTGAAAAACTATTCAATTATTGATCTTGGAAACATGACTAAGACCCAGACTTCTAAGATTCTTCATCTAATTCAGAGATTCTAGGTCTTAAGTTTTCTAAAATTAAAAAAAAATAATAATAAAAAATAAAAGCAGTAACAACTGCTCTGACCTTGGTATCTCATGGCTCTTGGACACTCAAACTTAACATCCACGGAGGGAAACTAAATTTTAAGGGAGAAAGTAGGGAGCAATTTCTACAGGACAACCTCAGTGGGACGCTACGGACACGCAGACACGCAGACACACACACACACACACACACACACACACACACACACACCATACACGCTCCTCCTTGCCATGCCTCAGCCCCACAGACACCTCTGGAGTCCACTTTAGCGTGCCCCATTCACCAGTCCAGTCAGCGGGCTTTTCTGAGGCTGTTTAGCTCGGTCCCCACGGTCCCTCACTTTAGTATTTTCCTTTCAAAACGCCAATGTTAACGTCTCCCCTTAAGAGGCAAATAGATGCCGTGTTCAGAGGAACCACCGAAACCGTGCCAGCTGGTCCCCACCGCCTGGCTCAGCAGCAGGGGCACTGGGTCAGCCTTCGGGCTGAGTTTTGGAGGTTTGTTCCCTATTACCACGGAGCGGCTTCCGGGAACCGCGGGCGCGAAACCACCGAGACCCGGCCAGGGAGCAAGCGAGGCGGCCCTGGGCTCGGCGGCGGACCACAAGAGCCCGCAGCCCTGGAACCTTCTCGGTGCGGTGCGGGTCCCTGCCACCAGCCAGAGCCCAGAGCGCTCTGAGCCCAGCGCTCGAAGCCCCAAACGGAGCCCAGCGCTCGCAGGCCAGCGTTGGGCGCCCTAGCCCGAGCCCAGCCCGAGCGCTGCCGAGCCCTACCGAGCGCTTGGAGCCCCAGCCCGAGCCCAGCCCCAGCCCTGCCGAGCGCTCGGAGCCCCAGCAGAGGCCCAGCCTGAGCCCAGCAGAGCGCCCAGCATCCCGCGGCACTACTCGCACGAGCTCCCTCGGCACCGCAGGGCCCCGGGCAGCCTCCCAACCCCTCCTCTCGCCAAACCAACAAATAAACACAACTTTTTATGAAAAGAAAACAAACTTCAGCAACGTGACTCACCTCGGTTGCAGCCGGCTCCTGAAAAGGGTGAACCCGGGCCCAGGGACCCGCGTGGTGAGCGCTGCGAAAGCCACACGGCCACCAGTGCCGCACAGACACACAGCACGCACAGCACGGTGACACGCGGGGACACAGCACGGGAGAGTGGCCGCAGCAGAAGCAACAAAGGACCCGGGACTGAGAAGCTACGGGCCCGGAGGCAGGGCGCGGGCGGCAGGCGAGTGTGAGGTGCGTGTGCGCGCGCGGCTGACACCGGCGAGACCCGGCTCAGGGTCCCCGCGACAGGAAGCGGGAGCCGCGGTGACGGCAGCAGGAGGACAAGGCAGGGGACGCCGCGCCCAGCGCACCCGATCCCTCCATATGGAAGAAGCTTTTTTGGATGACTGAACTCGCAAACAATTCCTTCTTTTGCTTCTCCTGCCTAGGAGCCTCCCATTACCGCGCGAGGAGGGGAGGGGAGGGGAGCGGAGGAGGCGGGGAGGAGGAGGAGGAGCGAGAGGGAGCAAAGAAAAAGTCTTGGAAAGGAAACTGGAAAGAAAAAGAAAAAACCACACACACACACACACACACACACACACACACACACACACAGTCCCCCAAACTCTAGAACAGTTTTTCCCTTAACGCACACTTTCTTTTCCTCCACGTTAAACTCATGCTTTCTTTCCCTTTCCCACACCAAAAGAACCTTTCTCCCACTCTCTGGGCTCCCTCCACCCTGTTTAGCTTCACCTTGGACCCTTCCTCTGTCACACTACCCCTCCCTCCTAAGCCTCTTCTCCCCCAGCCTTTTTCTGGCACCCACTTCTTAATGTCTCCAACATTCTGCAAACTACTAGATAAATCAGTAAAAACAAACAATAAAAAGCGAGGCATCCCCCCCCCAAAACGGGGCAAAGGCAGTTGAGAAAATGATAAGAAAACTCATCTGGGCAAAGTCATAAGGCAGCTTTCACAGACTCAGGCTGGTTGGGGTGGGAGGGTGTCAGAGAAAAGTTAGTTACTTCTGTGTTGGTTAGGCTGAAACGGTTTTATCCAAAGCAGTAATTTTGAGACGTGCTATAGCTGAACTTCTTTGGACAGTTTGTTAGAACACAGATTGCTGGGCTCCACCTCCCATTTCTGACTGATTAGGATTGGGCTAGGCAAGAATTTGTCTAATTCCCAGGTGATCTGGTCCAGGTCTACATTTAAAAAATCACTTTTACAGAAGTTCAGTGCTGAGTTGAAAGCCCTTTGCTAAGGGTGAAGCAAAGATCGTGAGGGTTCCTTAGCCTACACCCTTATGCTGTAGCTGGGATAACCAAAATGAGGAGTCAAGCCATTTGTTCAAAGCCAGTTCATGCCAAGGTGGAAAGGGGACTGCCCTTGGAGCCAGGCAAGAGCAGGGTAGATGGAGTTTGTCTTCCCTGTGTAGCAGAATACCTGGCATGGGACTCAGGAAGCCACTTGTGTGACTTTGAAAGAGTCACAAACTTTTCAGGCCATGGTTTTGTTTTCTGTTGTTTTGTATGCCCCTCAGTGAAAATGCATGCTTTATAAAGCTCAGCACATGAGTCTAATCGAATCGGAGAGAGGGAGGAGAGAGGGAGGGAGGGAGGGATAGATTTCATATTTAGGACTACTCTTTCCTCCTGTGTTCCTTAATTAAAGCAGGAGCCAGCTTCTGCATTGATTTGTCTGCAGATTTACTTTTGGCTCCACATGCCTGAGTTTTTGGGCACATCCCTGTAGCAAAATGAATTGAGTGGATGAAATATTTTTAACAAGACTGTGAAAAGGCCCTCAGTTCCCTCTTTGAACCTCCTACCTTCACTACCACCCCACCCCCTCTTCTCTGTTAATCGCCTACAACCTTGCAGAACAGTCTCAAAAACATGTTTCTCACCCTGTTCAATGGCAGTGTCAGCTTCTACCTTTTCATTGCCCTTTTCTGCAACACAATTGAGGACTTCAAGGTCTGAGATCTACCCTGGAACAGAACTTGTAATTCCTAAAGGGAATAGATCAGCCAGTCTTCCACTGTTGTGCAAACACCACCTCTCAAAACCCCAAGCTGAGTAATCCAGTTTACTGCTTTTCAAAGATGATTTCCAAGTACCACTCCCACTGGTAATGGTGAGGTCTAATAAGAACAAGGTGCTTGAATTCTCAGATTTCTATATTCCCACATATATGAGTCATTGTTTAGCGTCTCAAAGATGTTCCCTACTGAACAGAATTATCTTTCTCTTAAGACTGTACATTCCTTCCACTCTGGTCTTGGATCCAAACAGCCTTTGCCTTCTGAGTCAAAGCATTAACTCTTACCAACACTATTTAGCCAGGAGAGGGACCGATGGCCTTGCAACCTCCCTCATGCAGGCTGATCACCACACCTGCTTGCCTTCACTATAATTGAGACAGAAAGCAGATCAGAGCTTCATGAAGAGGATTTACTTTTGCCACAGGCATCAGACTCACAGTTGGCACCTCAAATATGTTTATTTTTATGGTTCTTTGTATTAATGTGATTGTGTTTATTTTTACAACTCCTGTAAGTACACTGTATCTTTGAACGTATTCCTTACTGTTTTCTGCCTGGAGCATGTTCCTTGCCTCCCCTTCCTCTTACTGTTAGTTTCTTTATCTTAACCCACATTGTCCCACTCTAGCCCTCCAACCATCTCAAAAGAGTTGGATGAACAGCAAGCAGAGTGAAATATTCCTTGCTACTCTTCATTCTCTTAATGGCAATTTACCTCTGGTCTCCTGCTTTGGGGGTACTGTATGGACACCACAAGAAAGCATTTAGCATGGAAGTAGCTATCACATTAATTTATTCTGCAGGAAAGTGGCAGAGTGGCCAGGGACTGCAGGTCATTATCAGTTACTGTCTGTCATTAGGCTGGGCAGAATAAACCAAGAGTCCAGTGAGTAACATAAAACCATGTTGATCCTCTTCTAGCAGGCTGCAGACACTGCCCCCGTGTCATGTAAACAACAGAAGACTCCTTGGTTATGAAAGCTACCTGTAGAGATTGTGCTGAGAGAACTACCAAGGTACAGACAAAGGCAACAGGGAATTGACTTTTCCTTTTGTTTTCCTGACTACAAAATATGTGTGCTGAAGAAAATTCAGAGACTACAGAAAACACAAACTAGGGGGAAAACCATGTTAAACCCAGTATCCAAGGATAACACTATTGACAGTAGAATGTTACTTTTGGTTTTAGTCGTTTGTCTTTCTTGTTTTTGTTTCTCACAACACATACTTTACACTGAGCATATGATATTCGTGAATCAGAATAGGAAGATGCTTAAAGGACAATATAAACCAGAGACATTCATTCAAAATTTATATATCTTTTCCATATGCGTTTAGTAATTCAAGCACAAACAGTTTCCTCATTGATTTATCCGGTGCTTCCATATTTTTCCAAATTGAGCTCATTGCTTTTTAAGTTTAACATTCTAATGTGATTATTTTCCCCATGTGCTTGAATCTTCTTCAACAGCTTCGGTTCTCTTCAGCTGTTGAATTGACTTCAACAGCTGTGTACTATTCCATCAAAAAGAGATTATTTATTCAGTCATTCTTTTGCTATACATTTAGATGACTTTATCTGCATTATTATCCTGCATTGCAGTTGATTAAACATCTTACCATAAATCTTTATGATTCTGATCGCTAAAAAGAAAATGTAATAAGCATTTTGCCTGCATGTACGTAAGTGCACCATGTTTGTGCAGGTGCCCCTGGAGGCCAGAAGAAGGCATCAACTCCTCTGGAACTGGAGTTACAGAGGGTTGTGAGCCACCATGTGGATTCAGGGTACCGAACCCAGGTCTTCTACAAAAGCAGCCAGTGCTCTTAACATCTCTCGAGCCCCCGATTCTTACTATTTTTAAGGGTAAATTTCTAAGAGGAAGAGTTTGGTATCAATGGATAGAATACACATTTTTAAAGGCTTTTAGTTGGTATTACAAAACTACATCCTAGTGGTGCCAGTATACATTTCCATCTCTCTGGAAAACAAATGTCAAAAACAATGATGTCATTAAACACAAGGCCCCAAGTGGAAACTTGATTAAATTATCTCGTTTAGAGGACTGTACTCACCAGATAAAGAAAACAACTGCCAAGTATACACAGTGAAGACAACACTCAAGTGTGTGAGTTATAATAATTGCTTACTATGTGAACTCAGCTATATTTATGATCTTATTTAACCTTTTCAACATCTTTCCGAGAAACAAGCTAATAATTGCTGAGCACTTTCCTCTCCCAGCCTCTGTGCTGGATTCTGTGTGTTTATTCAGTTTTGAATCCCCCCCTCAGAACAACTCTTTGGTGTTTCCATGTTATAGATAAGGAAAATTATTTAATTTGCCTAAGATCTCTACCAACAAAGCAGTGCTACTCATTCCAGACCTTGCAAAACACTATTTTCTCACAACTGTTTCAGGAGTTTTATACTACTATTCCTTGAAATAAGAAAGATACATGTAAGCTGAGTGTGTTGACATGCCAAAAAATGCCAGCACTCTGGACACTGAGGCAGCGAGATCAAGAGTTCCAGACCAACCTAGCCTACCTAGTGACACCCTAGCTCCAAAAACTTTTTTTTTTTTTAAAGAAGGACATTTAGTAATGTCTGAAATTTAGCAAGCCATGAAGGACTCTTTTATGGGGTTTCCAACGAAGCACATCTCAGTGCATTTAAAGAGCTAAAATAACTTACTAATTATAAATAACTTAAGTATCTAGGAGTTGTATACCATAAGAAAATAGAGCTCTGATGTTTAAGATTAAAGTCTAGATACCAAAATTTAGTTCTAACAGTAATCAGTAAATTGGGTTTTGTGTACATTTCCTGTTCCCAAAGCTAATATTTGAATAAAGATGTTTTGTCTTCATAGAAGGTACTATAAATGAAACATTCCTGAAATCAGCTTCCCAGTTAAAAATTCTAGCTGCTGAATGTTATTTGTTTATTATTTATTTACTTCATTTGTTAAGGCATTATCTAAATATATTTTCAAAGTGAATGCATTACTAAACCATTAATTTAGAATTAGAAATTCAGCTTTCATCTGCTCATTAGTAGGCCATTAACCAGTTATCTGAATTGGCCTACCTCTCTGTGCTGGATATTACAAGGGCTGCTGGACAAAGAATGTGCCAGTTACTCTAAAATATTTGTTGACTAAATAAAGAATGATGAATGAAAGTATAAGATTGACCTATGCAACAATTAGTAACCAGTGCAAGACAGCATGTAATTAAAGCCTAAATTGCATGGTTCAGACAGAATTACAGGTGAAGCTGGCACAGTGCCATCTATTCCTCATACCAATTGAGTTGACTAGGGCTGACTTTTCCAGCCCTGGGCTGTCAACTCAGAGATCTTATGGCCATGTGTTCTGTTGACCTTAAGGGACTAGTCACAAGATTCCTCTAG